GGATTTATTCGTGTATTATACTACACGTTAGGTAGTTGATATAACGACACTTGGCGAAACAGTCTTGTGCAATCGTTGAATCGTCCAAGCATACACGTATATAGATAGCGATTCGAGTATTCTATTTTCGGCCCATTGTAACAGTTACAACCCCGTCATCTTTGTGCATGACATTGACTCAAGTAACCACGATCGTGTCCTGTTTAACAAGATACGGTCCAGCAACGTATAATAATAGTGGAGATGTTGGATGGATCTTAGAAATTTATGCGCGCACGTTGATCCGTGCACTCGAACTGACGGAAAGCCTGAAACTTTCTTTCCAGATATATCGTAATAAACGCGCGTAATAAACGCGCGTACAACGTCTCCACGTTTTCCGTGCAATCTCTGGACAAAAGGAATTGTCGCTCGAGCGATAAGAATTGGTCGCGCGAATCCTCCTAACGGAAAAACTCGATCTGTGTTCTATGATCACTGGTGATTACGCAGCACCTAGTAAACGCTTTTATTTATTCACCAAGAGACTATACGCCTGATATTTCCGCAAATAGGCAGTCGGCTACGCCTGGTATTCAGCACGACTATGTGGATTTTTATTGAAAAATTTGTTTGCATCAAAGATGAGGACGGAAAAATGATATTTCCCTCGCAAAAGCGATACGTATAGCGACTCTTTGAAACCGATATTTCCTGTAAAGCGAGGTTTTAGGGGTTAAAGAAACGACTTTATCGTATACGTTTGATTTACCATAAGTCGATTATGTGTTATTACAATAATATTTTCAACGCGTTATACGCGTGTACACCTACTACTAAGAAAGTAATTTCCACGCGACTCGATACGTTTTCAAAAATTTACCAGCTTCGTTACGAGCACGAGAAGCGTATACAGTTCGAATCTTGATCTCACGTTATTCAGTGACTAAGAAAGCACTTGCGAGTCGATCGTTATCGATACGATAACGTTGTAAATCGGAAGCACTTCGCGGAAACGATTATCTACTGGTCGATTAGAACGATGGTTTAATCGGTACCTTTTCTCGGAGACGTTTCTTCCGTTCTAAACAACAACGAACACCGTTCTTGCACTTTGCCTTTAGCTATCTTACGTTTTTATTTTCAAGACGGACAGACAGCAATTTCTTACATCGGCGTTGCGTTTATATTTGACGCTTACCGCGCGCAATTACGGTTAATCGCAAGTAACGAGTTATTATCGAAATGTTCCAACACTCGTCCGATAATCACCTGACAGTTTTAAAACACACGATCGTTTATCAGTTTTCTTTTTACAAGTTCGCATGCTTCGTAGGTTAACGTAATGGATGAATTTTTCACGACAAAGGAATTTTCATATTATTCTTTTAATCGTGCGAGTTTGAAACATTTCTTATAAAACGACTTACTAATCTGTCTATATCAAACCTATCTATATCAAACCTATCTATATCGTCTGCATCAAAGTCATTCACTTGGCAGATATTTAAACATTTATCTTGTAAAATCCATCGTACGAAAGAAGGAGAAGGACGCGAGGCTTTACTTTTTCTTCCCATTTCTTTTACATTCTATTCTATTCTATTCTATTCTATTCTATTCTATTCTATTCTATTCTATTCTATTCTATTCTATTCTATTTTATTCTATCCTATTCTATTCTATTCTATTCTATTCTATTGTATTCTATTAATTTATGCGATATATTGAGAAAAAGAATACCTTGGACGCAGTGTAGGCGCGTACGCGTACAGGCAAAGAAACACTCGATAAAAGAAATTCGAAGGAGAAAGAAATTTGTTGGTCTTCTGAAACACGGTAGCTCGATTCTTGGGCAACGTTTCCTACTGGACTGACCGCAACGCTTCCGTCGAAAGCCGTAATTTCCGCTAAGATAAGTTAAGCGGGCAAAAACATAGACGATTTGTACTGTTCAGTCCGCGCCGAAGCGCAAGACAGGAGCCTTGGGCTCGAAATTCAACAAACCGTGTACCAGCTTTTACGCTTATCCCCGTCCATCCTTGCGATCCTTTTATTTAGCGTGGTTCGTAGTGAGTGAAATTTCGTAAACTCTCTCGACACGTCCCGTGCTGTGTGGTCAATCCACGTTTGATATTTCGATTCGCGTACTTCGTCATTTTAGCTACCAACAGCTACCAATATGTTGTTCAACTACGAATAACGACACTGTTATATACAATTGTAGACCTAGTTGTAGAATTTTTCGAGATTACACGTTTAAAATCGATATAACCCAATACCAAAGACGTTTTTTCTACCTCTTAAAACGATGTTGGAAATTTCTATTTCTTCGTACGTTCGTTTACGGTCGGCTACAATGTTTTCCATGTTTTCCATTCCACGAAAATGATAGACATTCGTGTGATTTTGAAGTTTGTGAAATCACTAGTAAATCAAAGAAATCATTGGCGAGACCGAGATTCCGTTTCTTTATAGTTGTATTCAGAAAAATATGACTTTGCGTACACGTACTGTTACTCCGTAATACCTAGTAACAGACAGATGACGACGATTACTAGATATAAATATTGGAAAAGATGGCACTCTCGAGCACCAAATATTTATCAGATACCGGAATATCGTATTTTGCATATTTTATATATTGCCCGGTATTAAATTAAAATGTAAATGCGTAGAAAGATCGCGTGTTAAATTATATAGCGAGAATGTAGCGACACTGATAAAACGATTAGCTTTATAATGATATTTTATTTTATTTTAAAGTTTGAAGTATCGCTAATGGTTCGAGACGGACCACCTTTCTAATCGACGCAGGTAATGGTTATTTTTCAATTTTTGCCAAGGTGGTGGACGGCTGGTGGACGCAGTTATCTGAAAATATCTACGCGATATACACGTTTATACGTGCACACACGGAAGACAATGTGTCGCCGCTTTCCTGACACGTGCTTATCGTCCGGGTTCCATGTGCTTGCAAATGGAATACTATCGCGCTTTTATCGAGGTTTTCACGCAAAACCTAGTAGAAGGTCGTCCAGGAAATTACATTATGCGTCTTTATCCTGTTGCTACGTATTCGCATCTGCGATTGACAGGGCTACGAACAGCCTGTTCGTCTATAATTCTATGATACGAACGAAGATCAGACGGAAAGTGGTTCGAAAAGTGGTTCGGAAAGTGGTGCCAAAGTAACTCCTCGTCGAGAACTACGTGGGTTTACACGGACAGAGATATCATAACAATGACATTAATCGATCGACATTAACGAGAAAATTGCACGTATTAACGTTTAGTTGGTTGCACCAATTAAGAGGTATTTCTTTATTTGCTTTATTTGCACGTTGCCTCTATAATACAGCGATAAAGATTCGCTTTCGGATAATCATCGACAACGTATTCGCCGTGTGAAACGTATCGTATCTTTGCGCGTTGCGTAACGAAAATTTGAATTTTGAAAGCCGAAACGCGATGCTCGTTCCTCTAGAGTGGCAACCAGTGCGAAAGTAATTCGGAAATATGAAATAAATAAGATTTTCTCGCGAATCCTCGTATTCGAGACAAAGCGTTTTTGTAGAAACAAGAAAAAGAAAATAGAGATTGGATACACGTGTAAAAAGAATATATATCTACACGTAGGAGAATTTCTACTCAGTCTACTTACGCTTTAGGAGATGAAAAAAATGTCAAAAATAGCATTTCCATTTTCACGGTCTTGAAACGATCCTCCACCTCCCGCTTTGATTTCTCGCGACAGTACCATTTTTATTTTACAGTCTACGCGTTCTTCGCGTCTTCGCGTCATCTTCTTTTCTTTTAGGATCGCTTTTAGGACTAGGTCGTAATTAAAAGAGCAATTGAAAGACACACGCTGTTAGTCATCTTGATTTATCATTATTACATCTTGATTTATATAATAGCAGCTTCTCTTTTCCGAGATGCCTTTATATAGGTAAAGGAAATAGCCATCCGTGTTTTACAAGATAATTACATATTAGAATAAATGTGGTTTATATTTGGAACGATAACGAGCTATAAAAGAAATATCTGGTAATTTCGAAAATACCGCTGTTATTTAAGAAAAATTCATTGTGCGCGCGTGCGAAGCAAAGCGCGTGCAAAAAACTTTAATCAAAAAAAGAAAAGGAACTTAATCAAAGGAAGAATATAACGATATGAAATTTGTTTAGCCCTCTTGCGAAGTTGTGGGACGAATTTAGTCTTGCAAGAAGTTGCTATACAAGAAGCGTAGTTTTCTTTCCATTCGGAATTGGATCGTCGCTGTAAAAATTTGTTTTTTTTTTACCACACTTGTTAGCAGATTTTCTATTATCGCTGACCCAGTTGTCGAGCTTTTATTCGTGGATTTCGATAAAACGGCTTACAATTAGAAAACCAAAGCGATAGAGAGTGTATCGTAAGAAATTGAAAGGTAAAATTCGAAAGTTTGTCGAAAAGTAGGCAGTGTAGGTATTGCAGTGACAGGCAATGTATTTTAAGAAGCATATACCACTGTAATATAAAAAAAAGGGAGGGTATACGCTTGGTCTATCACATATTTAAGTTGAAGTTTTCTCGGGATAGTACAAGTTGTAAATTTAAGGTATAAACTAAGAATCGTAAGAGTGCTGAGGAAGAGAGAATGAGAGTGTAAGTAAGAGTGTATGCCTTGGTGACGTCAAAGCTAAATGAGCAAAGGAGTGGGAGAAGGGTGCAAGGGTTGAGGGTCAGCGTTTTTTGACCTGGGAAGACAGACGTGAGCCGAGTGCTGGTGGAATAAGACGTACGAAGATATTGTGGTCAGTTTTTGCATCGGGTATTGCTCGTTAAAAGAAAACTAAACTTCGCTTCAAATAGAACGTTCTTTCTTGTCCTTGCTCTAGACTACTACTACTACAGAAATACTACACCACTGTATTCCATCATTGCCTACCGATAACAAACGATCGAGTTTTCTTTTCTGGCGACTAGCGCGACCAAAGTAATTCCGCGATAAATTTCGATATCCGATTCTGTTGCAGGAACAACCGAAGGAGGAACGTCGTTCGCACTGGGAAGAAGGGACGCACTGGGAAGGAGGTTCCGGAAGATATTCGCGGGTTTTCGTGAGAACCAACGACCTTCCATTTTACTTGAGAATAAGTAGGAGAGGTCGGCCTTGAAGCGTGGAAATACGCGGCGTCGCGTGGTAATAGTCGTGGAGCAGGCGGGCAGAACTCGGTATCAAGAGAGAGATTTATTCGAGTTTCACAACCTCTCTCGATCAGCGGCACCGGTGGTCGCGGTCGTGACCTCGATAGAGCTCATCCACCTGGTTGGATAACTCGACTCTCGATTCGAGCCCGCCACGGAACCCTGAAAGGTCGAGCCGCTTGGTGGCCTCGCTCTTTCGCCAGTCTACTCTTGCTTCTCGGTACCACCACCGGACCACCGACTCACCACCACCACCGCGCACCACCACCGGAAGTCGCACGATGTAGCGACTTTTGCCGGCGATTCCATCGCGCGATAACATTGTATCTGATCGAAGCTGTGTTCTACGCGTGTTACGAGTTGTACGCGTCCGTGCGCTCGCGTCTCTGTCCCTTGACAAGAGAAACGGAAACAAGACGTTGAAATATTTTCGGACGATACAAACGGACGGTAGCAGCGTGGCCGCGGTCGCGCGCCAACCATGAAAACGATGGGCGACGTGGCCCCGAATTCCGTCGACGAACAGAACGGCACTTGCGCCTCGGCACAGAACCCCACTGCCGGCAAAGAATTCGGCCACAAGACCCTCAAGTCCTTGAAGAGGGGCCTCGGCAGACTTTGGAGGAGGCATCGTGGCAACGCCTCCATCACCGAATACGACCCTTGCTACAAGGTCGCTTATCTTGGGAACGTTCTCACTGGATGGGCCAAGGGTAAGCCAATCGTTTGATTTTCTTTGTCTTTACGCGCGTTTCTTCTTATTCGACGGCCGCTTCTTCCCAAATAATCACTACGCTCGCGTAAAACCGAAACATCGCAGAGACACCGTGGTATCGAGGCTCG